AAACAGAATATGTAAGACAGCGTCAAAATTCGAAAAAGAAATTTTAAAAATTGGCCGTCGTATAGTTCACATTCTCTCTCGAATATGCACAATTTTGTGTGGCTATTTCACGTTGTTGTTTTGTGACCTTTTGTAAACAACGGCAAAGAAATGAACAAAGAATTATAACGCACGCTTACACAGACATTGTACTCGTTGGCGTTGCCCTTAAAGTTTGCTTAATTAAACTCCCTAAAACCGAATAAACAGCCAAACAATGAACAGCCAAACGAGCACAAAACAAACGAAGGCCCAACCGAACAAAAAGACGGCTGAGAGAGCAGGAAACATCGATCTCCGCTATGAAACGAGATCACAACATATAAAATGACGTTCCAGCAATTTAATTCCTCACAGGTAGTTTCGAGAGAGTCGCTTCGACTGTCCACGCATCGCGCGAGTAGCATCCTCGGAAGAACTGGGTACCATGTCTAAAAATAACTTAAAAGGGATTACCTTAGTCAGAGGACCTATATGGGGGATTCACTCTTTTACCTTGATAATCTCTTGCTCGAAGTTATTTGTCGAGTGATTTTACGAAATCCGTGAAACAATGTTATTACAGCTATAAGTAACATACGATTGGCACACACGCAGAAATCAGGGACTGAAGACAAAATGTAATTCGAAGCTAATTGCTTGTCACTGATGTTTGTCGGTGTGGTCCCGGTAAATTTCCTGGGAATGTTTAATTTCTCCTCGGTGCAGACTTTTACAAGTTACCTTTCACAGGGTAACCGTCTCTTATTCTTTCAAATGGAATGTCAAATCTCCTGGAAACGGGCAAAAACACTTTACTTTTGTACAGCCGGATAAAACTTCGGAATCTTTTTCCTTTAATTTTTTCCTTTTGCCCTTTTCTCTTTCGCAAGATTTCTCCCCAATGTTACAAGGCAGGGGCGAAGTAAATACTCTATAAATGATATTTCGCAAATTTTGACAAATTGTGTTGAGAAAAATCTTAGCTACAGGTTTTGCCCTGGTATTGACAGACTGGTCGATGTGCAACAGAAATTGCCAATTAAACACCACACATTGTACGTCTTATTTTATTTTCATGTTTTTACAAATGAGAAAAAAATGCAGCTTTCCAGTATTGTTCAGTCAACAAGTGTTCATAAGCATGTTTACAGTGAGTACACGGCTACACAAGAGATGTAGTCAAACCTTACTTGTGATTTAAGCCCGCCTCCCCCCACCAGCCTCCTACCTATGCCCTGCGTCTCTTATTCTCATTAACAGAGTGTCAAATCTCCCGAAAACTCGCCAAAATCCTTAAATTTTCCACAAAGAGGCAAACTACAATATTTTGCGTTTTCCCCTCCGTGACATTTCTTTCCAAAGTTACGTGCAAATACTATTCGCAAACTTCGACAAATTGTTGTGAAATAAAAATGAAAAATATAAATACAGTTTTTATCCCTCTTTGTATTATCGATTTCTGATAAGCAGGACAAGATGGAACTTTTGGCTATGAGTAAAAAAAAAATTCCGTACATAGGGTTCAGAGCCACCTTGAATTTTCAAACCTAACTCTGAACTCTATTTACCTAACCTTCTAATCAAAAGTTGATAATTTAAAAAAATTAATTTTTCATCGTGCCGTTTTAGAATTATAAACCCTTAAAGCTACAATTAAGGTTGTTTTTAGCAGGTCATACTGTAAGAAGCCTAATTGTCTTCCCTGGGCTTCCTTGTCTAATAGACATTGATATGTTGTGAATATGTTTATAAATGGCAAAAATAAAACGAGAAAAATAACAAGTTTTTTTGATACCATGATTGCAGCATCGATTGATAAAGAGTGGTTATAATAATTCATCAAAAACGTTAACTATTTGACAATAAGTAGCTTAATGTGGCTCAAAGCAGTTTTCAGCCCTTTCCAGGACTTAGGGTGCGTTTCTTTAAGAAAATCCAAGATTGGATTCTTAAATCCGAAAACGGATTTTGTGCTTCTTTTCTAAACAGATTAATCCAAGATCTCTCGGATCATGGTACGTCAAAGAATCCACTCTGGGCAAGGATTCTTCGGTTCCTTAGATACATCATGATCCGAATGATCTTGGATTGATGTGTTCAGTAAAGAAACGCAAAATCCATTTTCGGATTTAAGAATCCAATCTTGGATTTTCTTAAAGAAACGCACCCTAAGTCTTGGAAAGGGCTGAAAACTGCTTTGAGCCACATTAAGCTACTTATTGTCAAATAGTTAACGTTTTTACCGCTGTTTCACCCGGAACAGAGGCCCTCAATCGTAACTCCATGGTCGAAGTACTGTTTCACACTTAGCCCCAAAAGAGACCTTTCAGGCCTTGACGAAAATTTCCACTGAATGTAAAACAGAGGCAAGGGTTAATAGCACAGTTCGTATGCATCATAAACACAGCAAAAAACCAAAAGGGTTTTCTATCGCAAGACAAAAAATTTATGTTGTCCCATACAAAGACATGAAGAGAGATAAAAACACTGTATGGCATCCAGCATAGGATAAAGGCAATCACAATGGCTGCGACCATCTTGAATACATTTCTGTGCATTTTTATGCGTTTTTCTACAGCGTTGATAGATTTTTCGCCTGGAATCTTCTGCGACTTGAGCTTGAAAAGTATGATAGAGTAAAGGATGATAATCAATAAGAAAGAAATAGCACCGATAACTATAGGCATGGCATAAGAGTAATATTTGACAAAGGACTCTTTCGTCCGCCATTCACACTTCAGTTTTCCTGTGTACACATAAGTGTTGGCAAAGAAGGCTGGGGTTGACACGGCAATAAGAACTAACCAAGTGGAGAAGATAACGTAGGGACACAGCTTTGAACTGATGAGTGCGGGACGAAGGGGAAATACCACAGCTCCAAAACGATCGACTGCCAAAAACACCAAGCTTACCACAGAAATAAGACAGGTGACATAAAGGAAGAACAGCCTCACTGTACAAAATGCCCAGTTATGTTGGACACTGAAAACATCGATATTATCACCGTTTAGCTCTATTAGGAATGACGGCTGGACATAGAGTGGAAACAGCAGATCGGACATAGCCATGTTCACGATGAAATAATTGATTGTTCTTCGCAATGTTTTCGTCTTGTAGACAACTATTGCGATCAATAGATTCCCGACCAGCGAAACGACAAGAATCAGGCTGAAAGCAAAGGTTATTCCGATTTTCGCGGCCCTGGAGTCGAACGGATCAGTGCGAATGGAGCAGTTTGATGGCTGAGTTCCATTCACTGTTCTGTTCAATGTTGCATCCATTGTGATCACTGAAACTGAAAAATTCTTCCTTCGTTTCCTTGCAAGCAACCGCTACACTGATAGTGTCACACTGTAGTCCAATTAACAGTCCGTTGTGAAAACTCTTATTTTCTCACAGATGTCTAATCTCCAATTATGTCAGTTCAAACACGCTGTTAAATTAAAGTCACTGTAGGCTATAGCAGAATTTATTTCCAAGCTGTTAGCTCCAACCATTATACCTGCTATGTTTCGGTTCTACCGAAGGAGGGATGCCGAGATATCTCACCAAGTTATAAAACTGTCAAAA